ATGTATAACTGGTTGCAGTCCTCCTGGCACTTAACAGCATATACAACATTGCTCTGTTTGTGCCGGGGCACCGGATCTTTGGGGTGAACCCCTTTGCCGTAATGTGTTTTGGGGTTTGAAAGCCTCTGTAGTCAGATTGCAGCTATTGCCAGTATCACTCCACCCACTGTTAACAATACTGTAAGTGTTAATTAGGTGTCAATGATAGCCATGTGATGTGAGTATCAGTCACATGAAGGCAGGGCTTAAAAGCCTGAATTTTGCCTGAAACTCTCAGACTGAAGAAGTCTCTTGGAGGAGAGACGAAATGTTTCATTAGAGAAGAACCCGTCCAGAAAACCTATAAAAAAATTTTCTGTTTGATTTTTTCCTGGATTACTGAGATGCATCAGGACACTGTAAAAAGATATTAGTCTAAAGAAAACTTAGTGCTTTGGAAGAGCAATAAACATGTGATAAAGATTTGCATTGTTACATGAATTTAGTACAAAAACTGGCTACAGTATTTAATCTGTATCATTCAAGACATCATCTTACAACAGAGATACGTTTGGGATTTTTTTTATGCACATTTTTCTTGTCTGTCTAGTCCTGATGTGTGTGAGCCATAGCAAGAAAAGAGATTTTTAAAGATTTTCAYAGGCCCTGCTTCTCTTTTGTCAGAATATCCACTGTTTTTGAGGAGCTGCTTGGAAATACCTTTATGCCCTTGAGCACTGACAGCTTTAGACTGCGGCTGTGGTGTAGCTACAGTGTCACTGTGCTGACAGCTGAACGTGACTGTGAATGTCAGAGTCTCATGAAAATCAGATCTCTCTTTGCTTTTATGACTTTTGTGTCAATGCACAGAATTCCTCTTCTTATTTGTATTTGAAGACTCYGGAGTGCATCTTTGTAAATTTGCACTGTTCTCGTAAGAGCATATTTTTTCTGCCTCCTGGGCACATTGGGGCATTGGTCAGTCCTGGTAATACTATCAGCCAGGTGTAAGCTTTTCTGTTCCTCGGAGCTTTGATCTATGGACTGTGTGTTCATGTGTGTCAGCAATGAAACTGAACGGATTTACTGCTGCTGTGGCCACCTTAATAATACTTTGTTACGCACACACACATCCACACACACACACAAACACAGGGGGTACAATCAGGTACGTTTTTGTTCCACAGATTTAAGGCACCTGTGAAATGAGGTTTATATCAGCAGCCTGTAGCCYATCTTTGTGGTCCAGCTTTATCTGGTGTAGCTGTAGACTTGCTGGTGGAGTAAATGCCTCTATCTTGGAAAGCTGTGCTGAAAGCAGCCCAGCTGATCTCTTCCATGGTACCGTTTGCAGCTAAGCTCTTTTTTGGGTGTAGTTTTTCTGCTTGTGCCATGGACAATATGTTCTCACATGTGTGCAAAAGATAATTTACTATCAAAGCTAACCTTCTGATTAATATCCATGTTTCAATRTGGCAAACAAGGAGGTATTACTTTGTATTTTTGCTGTTATTTTAATGATGCTTCCATGAGGACCATTCATCATAAAAAGAAATGCACATGTTGTAAACGACTACAACACTAAACACACACTGCATACAATTATTTACCAAGCCATATTGTTATGTCAAGTCAATTTCCATTCCCAKATTCATTGTTACTTTGTCACTTCATAATAAATGTTCARTTGGACCACTTTTTAATTTTAGGTGAACCCATCAAACACTATGGAATGGGTGATTTTACATTCAAGGAGCAGAGTAACACTGACTTACAATTTATTAACAATGAATCAACAATCTGTTGTGTTGTTTTGATCAGACTAACAAGTAGATTTTGCTCGTGAACAACTATTTCTCATTAGTAACACATTCAGTTCTGATTATTTTGCCAAATGTCACCCACAGATCAACAGCACATCAATCACACCTTCACCATTCTGTTCTCTTGCTGTTATATTTAAAAGGCAGCATGGTATCAACTGCCTGTGTTTATCTAAAATATGTCTCCATAGCTAGGTGTGTTATKTCAGGTTATTTCATTGATCAGAACCATACTTATATACATTTCAATTCACTTTTGCAATTTTTAAGGCCCTTTTCTAAGTGTGAGAGGGAAATTCTCCATTTWTTTTCACCTAGGAGATTTTTCTTTTACAACAGTGTTCTCCTGGTGCTACTGTGCAAACCATTCTTCTATTCAAAACTCATTTCCTCAAGGCACATGTTGACTCTGTCTCAGTCTCTGAATAAGATGTTTAGTAAAGTAGAATTGTGTCACCAAACAGTGAGAGTATCAGTGTCCTAACTGTGTGCATTTTGTCTCGATCTAATCCTTCCTAACTCTTTTCCTCTCTTGTCATTTTCTTTTTTTCAGACGCCAGTGCTTTGGATACTCAGGTTTTGAGTTACAGTTTTTAATTAGCCAATTGGACACTTGTGATTTCTTTGCATGTGCATGTGCTTTTGTGCTTTGTGTGGTGACAGTGTTTTTTAGCTAGTGTAGTTGAGTTTATTTTTGGGTGTCTGTGTTTTGTTTGTTCTTGTGGATAAAGGACACTGGTATCTGTAGGGTTTYACCATGTAGCATGTATCATATTACTGTTATTTTCTGCTAGTTAGCACTTTATTCAGGCTTTAATTTTTTTGTGAATGGATTTTTGGTCAGCAAGGAGAGAAAGTGATGCAGCAGAAGGCAGATCTCAAACTTCTCTGTTTTAGCCCTCAGATTACACTGCTGTGGAATAATCTAGACTTTTGCCTGTTTTACACTCCTACTCTTCAGTTTTTAGTTAGTCCTCTACTGATCTGTAGTTTCTCAAGTACATCTACAAACTGTGCAATTTCTTTTTTTTGTTCCATCGTTTCCCCTGCTGTTTGTTTTTTGTGTCGTAAAGTGCCCTCTCTTTGTTTTTCTAGTCTTAAACTGTATTTTTATTTAATTGTTTTTTTTTTTCTTTTTTCCAGCCTCGCAGTCTTTTGGATCCCAAACTGCTCGGTTTGCAGTCTGGAGGGTGAGTGGTGGTTCGCGGCATGAAATAATTGGTTCACAGTTACACAAATCAGAGCTCCTGTGCTGTTTTGTACTTTGATTCAGAGGAACTGAGAACTGACATGGGAATTCTCTTGCAGGCAGCTCTAATTTAGTCATTATGCTACTGACTGGCACACCACAGAGAATAAACAAAAAAAAAAATCCTTATGCTTTCATAACTCTGTACTTTCCAAACTTTGGCCCTTGGAATTAACTTTATACTGCTCCTGTTTTCAAAATGTTGTATGGATAGTTTTTTTTTATAAAGTACCAAAGGGAAATTCATGCTAACCAAACCCCGCCTCTCTAAAATATTTTCAGACATTTTTTTGACTTCTTTGCCAACAAAATTTGCCAACTAGTCACCAACAGTCATAGTCCAGTAAGATACTACCCAAAGCAACCGTCTTCTACACTTACTGCTTCTGAGAGCAGTCAGAGTCAAAGTTCGAGAAGTAAAGCAAAAGCCTKTTAAGCTTGTCTCATTGAAACTTTACAGTGAAGGCTTGAGGATTGTTTTCTCTGTGGAGCCATTGTGGCATGTTGAGGTCAGTAAAAGAGGCTTTAAGGGAAAGCAGAGGTGATGCCAGTGAGTATAAGACTGATAAAAAAGGGGGTAGCAACGGAAGGTACACAAGACAGGAAAAAAAAGATAGAGAGGATGATGAAAACCAAACTAGAACTGGAGTTGCTGTCGACTGAGAAGCACAGAGTTTTGAGGCTGCAGTCAACACTCGCTGTTCACGTTCATTCAAGTGTGCTGTGGGTGGTCTGCACCACACGACGTGACGAGGAAGGGGGGTAAGACAGGTTCACAAGGAGGCATGATCCACGGTGTTTGCCAGCTGTGTAAATCAAGGCCCCCCCCTTTTACCGTAGTAATGTCTCCCCCAGCATGGCATTATTATGATATTAATACACCTTAAATCTGTCTGCTTCTACAGGGCTGGCAGTATTCTTTATGGTATTGACAGCATGCCAGATTTACGCCGCAAAAGGACAGTGCCTCTTGTCCGAGACCTGGTGAGTCATCTGCCTCAACAAGGTTACGTGTGATTTATGTTAAATCTATCTGTGACCCCATGTTTTACCACAGTAGTGGAATCCTGCACTGTGTGAGCACAGACCTCTGTTGAACGTGATAATAATATATTTTCTGGCAACTTGATAGAATGTTTTTTTGCTTTACAATGACAGAGTGGTTAACTATCACTGGGTTATGTAGCATCCTCAAAGCTGAAAGAATACTCTCTAACATGATTTTTTTTTATTTCTATTTGGGCATAAAACGTTTGATTTAGAAATATGACTTATGTTTGTTAGCGTGAATAATATAAACAGGAGTCATCAAATAAAATTAACAAAAATGAAAGAGTTGTAAATAAGCCTATATATACAGTCATTTAACAGTTACTGCAGCCTTTAAGGCTAAGGCTGTTCTGTTAAGAGCTCCAGGATTGTTAAATCTAACCTTAGCTGTATAACTTTGTTGCCTGATTAATTAGTCTAAAAARAGTATTTAAGATAATGCGTCACAGTGTTGCTTCATCATGTTTTTATTGCAACATAATGTGTGATAAAATATCCCACAGAGAAGCCTGTTGCAGTGAGGCCCATTTTAGCACAGTGCCACATGGTTGGTCTTTCTGACAGTCAACAGACTGCCGCGATGCCAGTAATATTCAYGTCTGCTTTATTCTGTAACTGTTTGTCGATTATGCGTTACACTCTTTGTCTGTCTTGTGTATGTTTGTTTCTCATCTTCATGTATTTTAGTCAAGTATTATCAGCACTCTTGGATTAAACCTCTTACAGTTTGTTTTATACTCTCTTTTAGTTTGTTTTGTTGAATGTATACAAAATGGATTTGATGCCGATGATAATGCTGCTTGATGTCATGGATGCTGATGAATGTTTTTATCATGGTGAACAACTTGAGTTGATGCTGTATTTGTCCATATCTCTCATTAAAAATAATAACCAACAATGTCTTGGTAAGTATGGGTTGTCGTTTTGTATTATTTTTTTTTTTTTTGGATTTTTTAAATATTTTTTACGTGTATATTTTGCCATTCCTACATGGACCCATAACAGCTATGGGTAATATTTTTCAGTGAGTTGTCAGATTTCAGCCTCGCCGATGCTCGCCAGTTGTCCTCAAGTCTTTTCTTGCTCGGCAGGTTTTGGAAAAAAAAAATACAAATAAATAAAATTGTAATAAATCTGAAATGTTGACAACTCAACCCAAAAATATATCAGAGAGACTTCATTGACTTCTGATTTAACTGTGTGAGGCTTTTAAATCATGTAAAAGTGACACTGAGCAAAGCCTTTTACACGTGGGATGAAGTCAGTAGTCAAAGCAAACAAATTGGTCCCCCTTTCATGCCTCCCCTCCTTTTTTTGTCAATGTCCCCCATTTGCTGTGTGATTGCTTCAGGGCAGCAACAGCGTTTGATTGGAACGGACAGCGGGGTTTCCCCTGTTATTACGGCGGGTTGCAAAAGTATCGACAAGCAAAACAAAACCAAAAACAACAACAAAAAATAAATAAAAAAAGGGAAAGAAAATGAAATGAAAAAGTTGATTGATTGAGAAAGCACCAACAGATAAGCTTCCAGATGCACGGTCTTATTGTATTGCCCGCAGCAACCTCAGCAGTGCTGGTGCATGTTGATAAACTTACATCAACACTCACAGTTCATGTAGAGGTCACGATCCTTCCTACATTCTCCATGGCTGCCATGGATCTTTACCATAGCTGAGCTGTAAAAACAAGAGGGTCGTGGTAAAGACTGATCCAATATTGTCAGCTGTCCATGTCTGCATTCCTTTGTTACATAACTTTCCTCAGTATGGGATTTATCAATCTATTCTCACCCAAACAGTGAATAATATTAAAACAGCTAACATATAWACTGTACTTGTGTGTGTATCTGTGTGTGTTTTTCCGTGTGTGTTGGTGAAAACAACTTGTGTGGGTGTGTACAGGTTARCGTTCCAGTAAGTTTTTGACTGTCTGAGAGATGTGTGTGTGTTTTAAGTGTGCGAGTTTTTTTTTAATGTTTTTGTTGTTGTGCAGTACAGCTGGCTTCACCCATACATGAACGTGTGTGTCTTGTGTTTCTCTGTTTGTGTCAAACTAATGTGCAGAGCAGACAGCAGAAAATATGATCAAAGCTTCATCCAACAGAGAGATGACTCTAAAAATGCCAAGCATGACTGCAGTTTAGTTACCTCCACTGCATGAGTGGATAAACAATCACGCAACAGCTGGATAATCTCTCTTGATGCATAGTTGAATTGTTCAGGAGCTCTACAGTATGTTCCAACTGGCAGTCCTGCATGGCAGTTGAGACACCTTTGCGCTCAGTATGAACAGTAAATGAAAAATGTCTGCTGTTTATGTTGTCAACGTTCACACTGCCCTCTCCATCTAAACTAATTGCTCTGTTTCTTCTTCATTTCTTTTTACCAACACTTGGAAAACCCAGGCTTTGGTAAGAAAACCTCTTKYGTGTCTTGCAGCTGATAATCTGAAGTACATTTAAGTGTCTAAAAACAAATCATATGATGTAATCTTAAAAGGGAACGAGGACACATSAGGCAAAATCCACTATTTTAGCCATCAAATGCRTTTTGTTGTGTTGTCTCTAGGAGTGCAGAAAATTTGAATATATATTTTCCAGTACACATCTATATTCTGTTTGAGTCATATTTTCCAAGCCGTTCAGTTTTCTTTATATTCTATGACATTTTATGACCTAATATGTCATAGTATTTGTGATGGAACTGCCAAAGTTCTGGGGGTAGGGGTTGAAGCACCTCATTTGCATTTAAAGAGACATAATCAAAACAAAGGAGTTGCTTTAAAAGAGGAGCTTGTGGAGTTACAATGAGGACCAAAGCATTGCAGTTCCACTAAATATAGAGCCCAACTGAGTGATTTAACATARAATAACTTGGTTTCTACCAGTTCAGTGAGTAAATCTGACAAAACTAACTGCTAAATAATGTAATGATCATGTACACATTTTTTACACTTAGTCATTTTACTTTCTTTTCTTATTGCTTGCAAAATCATTTAATTTCAATTTTGTCCYTTCTGTCATCTTCAGACCCTCACTGCTCGAAAGGCAGGCATCTCGTTTGCTCTGGTGAACCGATCCACCCTGAATAATGAAGAACTGGTGAGTATGTGAAAACAAGATTTTTGGGGTTTATTTTCCATTAAAAAGTAACCAAATGGTGTAAATCATGGACAATTTAAAATCTTTAACAAACTAGCTTACATGCTATTTATCTGTAAAAGGAAGCCTGAGCGTTCAGAGGCAGTACATGCTAATTTAACATACRGGAGAGAGATGCTTAAACCTTTTAACTATAAGTGCTAACCTCTGCACTATACTTTCTGGACACATGCTCTCATTATTTTTCAAGGCGGCGTTAAGAGAGCTATAATATTGGCAAACCTTTATGGCTATGCTTTGTTGCAGCTGTTGTTCCTCAGGGTTTGCAATTATGTTGCCAAGAACACAGCGTCCCAAAGTGATTTTTTCTATTGCRTTATTATGCACTCTATAATGTCCACACATCAATCCATCATCTGTCTGTTTTTTTTCCCCCTTTGGCCAAGAGGAATGCCGCAGCCTATRAAACTGCTCTCTGTGACCACAGGTTCATTCTGTCTCTTCTCTTTCTATGAAACAATTTGGCAGAATTTAGGAATTAGGCAGCGACTCGGGCGTATATTTAGAGAATGTGCTGTGTGATCAGTCGTAATAACTGTTCATCGTGGGTGACTGAGCAGTGGAGAAAAGGCAGAATGTCTCAGTCGATGGTGTGAGACACTTTCGTGTTGACCTCCAGAGCTATCGCTGCATTAATTGATTGCAATTCTTCCCTCCCTGAGGGAAGATGGCGTAACAGGAGGCAAACAGCAGGAGAGAGAGAGAGAGAGAGAGAGAGAGAGAGAGAGAGAGAGAGAGAAAGAGAGACGTTTTTCAGCAAGAGGAAGAAGAATACAATTTCATATCCGCTGATGTGCAGCAAGCAGCTGCCTAAGCCAAGGCGATTACTGGATTTAAATGAGCTCCGCACACATCGCTCACAGATTGGATCTTTTTAGGGGATCTCATTGTGGCCTTCAATTTTTGAACAGTAGTTAGTGAAGATGTTCAAGTCACACTCGTTCCTCATGGGCGAACAGTCCAATTGAACGGTGTAGACGTTTCATTGCTTTTTAATTGTGATAACGTGTGATCTAGATGATTCTGAATGATGCAGCGTCTTAATTACAGGAAGCTGAATCTGTGTCAACTTTGGTCATTTGGCTCAATTGGTAGACAATAATCTGATGTTTATAAAATGTTGACAATACTTGGATTTGGTTGAATAACGATATGTTTTACAACGGGTTAGGGCAAATTGACTTCTGAGAAAAGCTGTATACTGTGTGCTCTTGGTAAGTAGGACAAGCAGATGTCAGAGTTTTATCTGCTGCATTAAGTCCAGCAGAGTGTTTTCCAGTGAGAGCTGAGAGAGTACTCTGTAAACAACCAGATGCTGTTTAATTGTAGGAGAGTTWTGGAATGAGATGAGAAAGGATGACTAAATGCTAGGTGAGGAATAAATGAGAGAAGACAAGTGTAGAAAATGGTTTGTCATCTCGACCCAGTGGCCCTGATGCCACTGTTCGGGAAGCTATGTTGAGCAATCTGTTGTCCCCGGAGTGATTTTTGAATACACTTAGAAAGCTTTGTAGTTCTTMCCACATTTTTATAGAATTTCCTCTCTGTGTCACCATCTTTCTTTTGTTTTTTCTCTTAATTTCAATTTAAAACTGGATTGGAAGTGTCTGTCGTTGCTGATGTGTAGGCCAGTTTCTCAAAATTGTTTTTCACAGTCACGTTTCCCTCATGTCAGCTTTTTTTCAAGCACAGAGGAACATTATGTGTGGGCCGGATAACTGCCCATGTGTCCGCTTGATCCTCTGAGCTGGATATGATCTGAGCACCGCAGCTTTTTAACAATGACTGTTAACATAAAGGAAGGCCATGTTTACCTGCTGAGACAAGGCACTGACTTTCACAAAGTTGGAAGGAAGCTGCAATCTGACAGGAGCCAACAGGAATCTGGAAATRAGATGTGATGTGCTGCTGTAAGTCTGTTCAGATATCATCAGACATCTTGTTAGCAGCAAAACACAAGATGTTGATTCTAAAATGCTTATACTTGTAATCGGGCTGAATAAAGTTGGATGGTCTTGGAAAGCAGCAACATATTAGTTTGAGCATAGTGAATTGGAACATTTTACTAATTAAAACAATTCATACACCTGCAGTTAGGGCTGACATTTTCAAATGGTTAATCCCAAAGATGGAAGGCTGGACCAGAATGAGGAGGACAGCGGCGTCAATAAAGTGGTTGACAAGGAYAATAGGTGGTGAAATTGAAAAAGAGGGGTGAGAGGAGGAGGAGGTGAGATCAGATTTTTCTCTGTCATGTTGCTCTTGGGCACAGGCTGCAGCTGTCAATCAGTTCTAGTAGTGTTATGTGCAAAATCACCAGGGTTACCTCACTGTATAACACATGGGAATGACGCGTGCAACACTTTCCTCGTATCTGTAGCGTAGCAGGGATACAGAGAGAAAAAGACAGGGGAAAAAATAAAAGAAACTAACTGGTCAAATATTACTCACACAGGAATTTGTCATGTTTCCCAGATTGATCGTTGGCTATAAACAACATTAATATAATATTCAATATAATTTCCATTTCCTGCTAAAATGCAAAATACATAATGCTGAAAGATTTGAAAACATAAAAAAATAATTTAGCTGAAAAAAGCTCAAATTAGCTTAAATGTATCTAAAAACATAAAACCGCTGAAATAAGCAGAAAGCAGCTGAAAGAAGCATGAAAAGSTAAAATTAGCTTAAAAAGGCTGAAAAAAGCATGTGAAGTTAAAATGAGCAAAATAACAGAAAAATTCAAAA